GATGGAGTCTCCAGTTAGTCTGTGAGGCTGCAGGGGCTGGGGATCGCCAAGGAAGATCTGAGAAAAGGAAATAAGGTGGGGGGCGTCTACCTTCACCCATCCTTCTCCTCCTCCTGCAGGAGGTGGTGGAAAACACGACAGGCTTGATTCCGGAAATCACGCCTACTCCCCGGGGGCCCTGCGTGGAGTCCTCCGGAGGCAAAGTGGAGCCCCAGGACGAGAGCCCTGCAGGCTTCAAGGCTTCGCCGATGGCCCTCTCGGACGCGGGCACTGCCACCCTGAGGTGCCTCCCCCTGGCTGCCCTCTTGTTTGGGCAGGGGGCCCTCTCTTGGCTCCTTGCCACCCTGCAGACTAGAGCCTGACACTGTCTCCTCACGTCGCATGCCCAGGCCCTTCTCTGCTCGGCCCTCCCCTCAGCATCAAACACAGAAACTACCCCCTGCTTTGGCTCCCCAAAAGTCCCCCGTCTGTGCCACTTCCCATGACCCAGGCTGTGACACCGAAGGCCTGGGCACTGCCCATACTCCATACAGGCTCTTCCACGACCCGCTATGCAGTGCATCCCTTAAAGCTTTAGAAAGACTGGTGGGACCACACGTTTTCTGACAGAATCTGGATCCAAGGCTGGGTGGGAGGCAGTCGATCACTCACTGAGAAGTCCAATGCTCCAGCTCATTTGAAGGGATGCCGCGTGGGGAGGAGGGGGTTCGCATTCAGAGGAGCGCCCTGTGGACCATCCTCATCTCATGCTGGCCCTGGTGGGGGCCCCTGTTTGTCTCTTCTGCTAACGTTTTTGCACAATCTTCCCTGTGAGGCAGAGGCAGAAAGCCACATGTACGATATGTGATAAAGGGAGAGGCTGTGTTTGTAAGGGACTAAGCTCAAAACATCAAATTAAATAGAACTAAACTTGCTTCCACCTCATTCCTTCAAGTCTTTGATCTGGGACAGGCAGCTGGGAGGTCTCTCGACTTGCTCAGCATATATAAGGCATCCAGAGGACCCTGGAGAACTTGGTTGCCCCGAATGTCACATCCAATGCAGTCCTTACTCTCCTCACCTGGGTCTCTACTTTCAATGACATTTATTTATCCCACCGAGTGTCACATTCTCAACACTCAGGTCACCAGGTGTGAAGAGCTTTAACTGGTCAGGTCGGCTGAACTGGGCTCTGAGGACAGGTCAAGGGTCAGGGAGAGAGAGGTACTCCTTAGCTCTGGGGCCCAGGATGGGAGGTTCGCATGGGCGGAGCAGGGACGAGGGGCCAACGGTTTGTGGAGTTGGGCTGCAGTTTGCAACCAGAATTGACGGGACAGGCTGTGGTGGTGGCTGCCCCGAGGGCTTCTGGGGCATTACTGGGCTTCCGAGCTTGAGAAGCCTTTGAGGCTTAATGTCACTGTGAACTGCCTTGCTCATTGTTCACATCCTCTAGAAAGGACCCCTGCTCTGGCTATGCCAAAGTGTTGAGAGGGATCTTAATCCCTTAGTGACCAGTGTTTGGGGGGCTAAGCCCTGGGCTAACGCCACAGCCCTGCTTCCCTGCAGAGCAGAGCCTGTCCTCTGTCCTCTACTGATGAGGTACGTGGGAGGTAATGAGCCCATTACCTTTGCTGTCATTTCTTCTGGAGAATTCTAGATACTCCATTCTAAGGCTCTACGAAATCTTGGGTGTTCACATCCAGTTCCTGCCATCTCCACCCCAATGCTTGGGGTCGCTTCTGGGCCTCAGGACCTATAAGCAGAGGGACTTGTTGTCCTTAAATCAAAGAGATTTTTCGACGCTCATAATTCTGGAAAGAACTAGGCTCCCCTGAAGCCAGAAGGTTGTCCATTCACTGTGTGGCATCTCTATCGTCACCATTTAAGGGAAATGGAGGTTTTCCTTTTAGGTAGGAATCCTAAAACATGGCCGACACCATATGACAGCTGCTCGAGGCACACGAATTACCATCCACAGCACGAAAAATCACACAGATAAAGATGGGATCGAGATAGAAACTAAAGAGGACCAGCACCGACCGCGTCTCTCTTGGCTGGGCTTTGCCAGTTTTGATCTTCTACCCCAATCTGTGACTCAATTTAGAAAAGTGTCAGTTTTCCCAAGCAAGAGTTTTCGACCACTCTGAGCAGAGAACTTCCAGTCTGCAAGATACAATATACTCTTAGATTAATTTCAGCTCTCAGGCCTAACAGTGATCATGTATTTCTTAGAGCTGTAATAACCACTAGAATTTTATAGACAATGATTTAAATAGCCACAAGATGGCGACATTTAAATAAGAGTAAACAGGACTTTGTCAAACAGGACTTTGGTCATGAGGGAGGATGCTTGAGAAACGGGGAACTTTAAGCTATGTGATTTGCAGGAACACACTAGCCACCACTGAGAAGGTGAAAGGCTATCACAGAGATGGTTTAGGATATAAAATTAAAGCTCACACATGTAGACCCCTCAGAAGCCAAAAGCTATCCCCGCCCCAGGAATAATACTTTAAAAACGAACACTGTCCAACAATTCAATGGGCAGCCTTTTGAGGAAATGTTGAAGCAGATGCTGATGAAGATTAGAAAAATATGGTTTAGAGGAAACTGTTTTGTGAGCTGGAGATTTTAAGCTGCATAGGCTCTAAAGTCTGTTCTGACTCGGTCTGCTTTTACCTGGGAATATCCAGGAAAATGAACTTGTATTGCATCCAAAACACAGCTGGTCATCTGTATTACCAACTTTCTCTCTGACTAATCATCTGTTTAAATAATTTAATAAAAGACTAAATTTTTCTCAAGCTGGAATTCGAAATATAAACCTTCACGAAGGTTGTAGGAATTGTTACCATTATAAATTATAACTTGCCAGGAAGAAAACAATAATCTCCAGTCTAATCTGAAATTAGAATACCTTGTATTACTCTTGTAATTATCATATGATAAAACTTCTAGCCTTGGGTAAGAGTAACTTCCAAAGATCTTTAGGCATCTAGTTCTCAAACAAGCAACCCTGCCTAGATGGAGATCAACTTCTCTGATGTTTTACATCACCTACTGTCATCAAAACACCTCCAGCCATGGGAGACTGTTGCTGGCTCCTCCAGGCACAGTGCCAACCCCATCTCGCCTCACACCCCACTCACCGTGGTGTATGACTGTAAAAGGTATATGTGTATTTCAACGTTTATACCCTATGTAGACAAAACCTAAGTGAACGGAAGTTTAACCACATGCAGACAAGTTGAGGAGCAAGTATCATCCTGTCCACGTCTGAGGGCAGAAGCTGGACACAAGTCACCTTTGGGAAAATATCATGAAACTCAACACCTCACTCTTAGGACAGGGGCTAAGCCAGGTCTTCACTAAGCAATAGTGCTCTTAGTTATTCCGTGAATCGATACCAAACAACAGTGCTCTCTGAAGAACATGACGAAAAGCTGGTAAGTTTAATTTCATCGCATAAATCAAATAAAATTTTACTGGCCGAAAATATGATGTTTGCCATATAAAATAACACACACACACACAGAGTCTATATGAAACTCTTGGCTATTTCAAAATTTTTCTTCTGTTATTTGTTCATACATTTTTTTTTTAAACTAGAAGGCAACAAATTAATAGCAGAAAGTATAACAAGCTTACGGAAAAGAACATAATATTGGGATAATTATATCCGTTAACTTAATTATTTTGTAAAGTGAAGAAAGATGGGCATTATTTAAGTTAGCAGTAAAATATCTTGTTCCAGCTTAAAACAAAACAAAATAAAACAAAACAAAAAAACCCTTTTCCCCAGGAGCACGATTTGAGACATATTCAAGATACCTCTGGAGAACAGCTTTCCTTTACAAAACGTGAGAGAGACAGACAAACAGACAGACAGACAGACAGATTCAGAGCAGCCTTATCATCAGGCGCCAGTGCTAAGGAGAATCGGAAAATCTAAAAGGGAGGAAGAATAAAAAAGTTCAAACAGACGTAAGAACACTCAGGGATTTATGCAATAATAATAGTAATAAACCTTTGTAGACTTTTATGGACTGAAAATGCATTTCCATGTACACTGTAGTTCCAATATTGACTCCATCTTACGGAAGAGGAAACTGAGGCAAGGCAAGGCACGCCTACCTGAAGCGACAGTTCCTGCGTCCACCTGATAGCAGGCCGTGCTCTTAGACCCGGTCCCATGGAGTCAGCTGTGAGCAGTAGGGTCTGAGGGAAGCGCAGGAGCCAGCTGCGCCCCGGACTCCGAAGCAGCGCGGGGATTTTCCCCTGCCTGTTCCCTCTGCAGCTTCCCCGCCTGGGCCCAGGACCACATCCGGGCACCGACTCCCGTTTCAACTCTCCAGTCTCTTCAAACGTCTGATGTTAAGTCCAGGTTTCCTTTTTTTCTGTTTTGTTGTTGTTCTTTAATTCTTTTCAGGACTCTGCCCTGGCGTGGGGCTGGCAGCAGGTCCCGTGTGCCGTAGGACCCAGGGTTTGCGGTGCTCACCACGCAAGTCCCCTGGGGCTCCCTGGTTGCGGGGGCGGGGGGAGATACGAGTGAAGGAGTCGATGACCACGTCCGCTGCACGGTTTAGAATTAGGAGTTTCGTTTTGTTGAGTTGGAAGGTCAAGTTAAGAGGTGCATATACTCTGCTGTAAAGTCTGTCAGCTTTCTTCAGAGGACCATCACTTGTGGGTAGGTTCCCAAAGGCAGAGGCAACTAACGGACGATCTGCGCCCCTCACGTGGAACCCTATCAAGCTCCCCAGACAGCAGGACAGCTGTGGACGTTGGTCAGAAGGCTGCGTGAGTGTGCTTGTGGCAGGTGGGACCATTCATGCGCAGCAAGGACCTTACGCCACAGATGCTGGAGTTCCTACGTGCTGGGAAATTCATAGTGTATTTGACCAAGGGAAATTATCCCCAAACTGTTTGGTCTCGGGACCCCTTTACATTCAAATTTAGTAAAGATCCCGTGCTTCGTTTAGGTGGGTTATATCTACTCATATTACTGCATTAGGAATTAAAATTGAGTCATTCGTAAAATAGTTTATATTTATTTTTTCATTCATTAAAAACAATATACCAACCACATGTTAACATAAATAATATACTTTTATGAAAAACTATTTTCTAAAACAAAAGAAAATCAGTAAAAAGAATGACATTATTTTATACTCTGTAAATCTGTTTCATGTCTGGCTTAAGAGAAGACAGATTCTTGTATTTGTCTTACATGCATGTATTGTGACACTACAGAATATAGAGTTTCTAGAAAATGCTACTGTATACTAACGAGAGAACGAGAGTGAAAAAGGCAAATTACAACATAGTATTACGAAAACAGATTTGACCTTGCAGACCCCAGAAAAAGCTGGGGGCCTCCCATGGGTCCTTAAGCTATATTTTGAGAATACTGTCCTGGAGTTGAGCCTCCAATAGCACCCAACTACTGATATCTGGTTATGATCATGAGTCTATTCTTGGGGGCTGGGGTGAAGTAATAGATCAAAGGTAAATGGTGCATTTGGATATGAAAGATCAAGAGCATGCCGAAAATCCTAACGCACTGAAGGAGAGTCTGGACAGTAAGATAGTAAGAGAAAAGCTGGTGGGCAAAAGAAAAAGCAGTAAGACGGTAAACCCTGATCCCAGGCGGAGACTGTCTCCCCCACGACACATCTTCACGGCCCATCTCTGTCAGGGATTTCTGGTCTACAGAAGACTTCCAGCCCAGCAAGTGAATCCAGTTGTTAGCGGTAACAGAAAGGGCCTAAGATGATCTCTAAGTAAGGTTATTTAATTTCCTGGAAGTACTTTAATGTCCTCAAATAGGAGTACTTATCAAATCTGCAGTAAGAGTATCCGTAGTATCTACAGAAGTACTGGCTGCAAAGTTAGGGAAGTTATGTTTTTAATACCTATAATCATATTTTTATTTGCTACGACAGTAAAAGTAACTTACAATAGTCCTAATTTAATTATTTTGGTTCCTGGATTCAAAGTGTATAGAAGCTCTATGATGGTAGCATTTTTTATATCTATAGTTTTAGACAGGACCTCTTTAGAAGCAGTAATATTTTCAGTATGCATAATAGCGAATTACTGTATTGGTAGCCACGGTATTTGAAAAAGTCCATAGGAAAATAAAGTGCAACTTTAAGCATTACTAATTAAATAATGTCCTGTAATATTCTTAACTATTGCTATAGCAGTTGTTGGAGTGCCAGGTATCACCAGTGCTTCCAGTTACAGTATTATGTTCTGGAACCCAAGAACAAGTTGGGTTATTTCTATGACTGCATCTAACACAACGGTATTCACAGAGCCAAATGTGGTATTATCCGAGATGCCAAAAACATCTGTGAAGTCTGTAGCAAGGATATAGAAAATGCCCAAAGTTTACTTGACAGGGCTATAGGAGTTATAATTTAAAAATAGTAGTATATATTTTGGCTCCAAAAGAAGTAGTCTTGGATACATCTTTTGATATATCTTCAGTGTCTCCAGTGCTTGGAGTAGCTCTATCTGTAAAAGCTAGGGCAAATATTTGTGAAAACTTATGAAGCATAAGATCACCTATCCATTGATTGATTTTTCTGTATCTGCAATAGCTACTTTAAAGAGATGTCTGTAGTAACTGTCCTGCCTTGGGTCATAATCAGGGGACTAGAGCAGTACTTGTGGTATTTACGATAGTAGATGTGGCAGCAGAAGCGTCCATTGTTTTTCTATCAGGAGTGGTAGTATTTAAAGCATATACGGTAATACCTGTAATATCTGTGGTAGCATTGGTTGTAATGGGTAAATAATTGGCTATAGAATTTGTTACCAGATGCTGAGTCTCTGTATGTAGAAGAGTGGACATTAACGTGTCTGAATCTATTGTGGCATTTGGAATAGACACATGTGTAGTGTCACCTGGAACACTGCTGGCCTTACCTGCGTCACTGACATCTACTGCATGCCCTGTACTCTTCATAGTACTGATGGTGGGAATAGCTGTGGTCCTTGGAATGTAAGTGTTTGTCAGGGCTGGGTCAGAAGCAGGCAATGAATTTGTTCTTATGCTGAAAATACTTGTAGCGATGGTGGTAGTGTATGTTGTAATGGCATTTCTAGTAGCTTCACTAGTAGATTCAACTTCTGTAGTTTTTATATGTGAGGAAGTGGCAGAATCTTGAGTACTATCAATAACTGTGTCTGGAGCAGTAGAAAAAGTATTCATGCTAGGAACAGCTGTGACGTTAACACCAACAGTAGTTGGGCTGTCTCTGGCGGGAGTGTTGGTAACACTGGTTATTACATTGGTAATATTTGCATCGGTGCTGTTTTCGGTGCTCATGGGTATGGTAGGTAGAACACGAGTTGGGGTAGCTGGAGGATGTGGAGTGCTAATGATCCCGGTAAGTGCCGTCGGAGACACGCTGTCTGCGGTGGCGGTACCAGGCGTGCCTAGAGGATGCGGAGTAGAAATGAACTGAGTGGTGCTCTGCATAGAAGTAGCGTTTGTAGTCATAGTAACTGTGGTGATGCCTGGAGTTGTTTTTATGTTTTCTGCAGCGGTACTATTTAAAATTCGTGTAGTAACTGAATCCATGTCAGTGGATGCAGTGCTTGCAGTCGTAGTGTTGATGGTGCCTGGACCCTCAACCAAATGTGTGGACGTCACAGTCGTGTGGCTTATGGCCTGTGCTGCAGTGGTGGCAGAATGGAGCGTAGTGAGCTGCGTGATGTCTGTGGTCACGGGGGAAAAGGAAACAAGGTCGCGGGGAGTGGAGACCAGAGTGTCTGTGTCCGTGGCAGTTGCTCCAGCAGATGCAGGATCTGTGGCGCTAAGCGTACCCGCTGTTGTCCCATCTGTAATGAGGCTATTTACTGAAATGGTCATAATGGGAGAGGTTCCGTTGCCCGGATTTGCAGAAGTTAACTCTGTGGTATTAATGGTGCTAAGGGAAGCAGCAATTGTTCCTTCTGGAGAGAAACTGCTTACAAGATCTGATGTAGCAGGTTCGGCGTGTGCAGTGGATTTGTCTGTGAAAGTAATGGCAGTGTCTGTTCTACTGGTATTATCCGTGGTGCTTGTAGTAGCAACAGTAGCATCTATTAGTGTGGTATTTTGTGTATTCAGAGTGTTAAAACGGGTGGTGTGTGCATTAGTAGGAGCAGTCAGAGCAGAAAGAGTATTAGTGCTAGTAGCATAAATATTTGTAAACAAAGGAGAAGTCATTGTAGAAATAGTATTATTAGTACTATTACCACCAGTACC